CAAGATAGTTCTCAGCAACAAGTTCCAGGCCTTTCATGATCTACTCAATGGAGAAGGAACTACTATGGAGAGCAACTGGAAGGGGATCAAGGAGGCAATCACTTCAACATGTCATGAGGTCCTGGGTCACAAGAAGCACCACCACAAGGAATGGATCACTGTTGGTACACTGGATAAGATTCAAGAAAGGAGGAACAAGAAGGCAGCAATCAATACCAGCCGAACAAGAGCAGAAAAAGCCAAGGCACAAGCTGAATACACGGAAATAAACAAACAAGTGAAGAGGAGCATCAGAACCGACAAACGTAAATATGTGGAAGATTTAGCAACGACGGCGGAAAAGGCTGCAAGAGAGGGAAACATGAGACAATTGTATGACATAACAAAGAAACTCTCTGGAAATCGCCGCAAACCAGAACGACCAGTGAAAAGCAAGGAAGGCAAGGTAATCACCAACATTGAAGAGCAACAAAACAGGTGGGTAGAACACTTCAAAGAACTGTTGAATCGACCAGCTCCACTGAACCCACCCAACATCGAAGCAGCACCCACGGACCTCCCAATCAATGTTGGCCCACCAACAATTGAAGAAATCAGCATGGCCATCAGACAAATCAAGAGTGGCAAAGCAGTAGGACCGGACAACATCCCAGCAGAGGCACTGAAAGCAGACGTAGCGGCAACTGCAAGGATACTCCACATTCTCTTCAATAAGATTTGGGGTGAGGAACAAGTACCAACAGACTGGAAAGAAGGACTTCTGATCAAAATACCGAAGAAAGGCGATCTCAGCAAGTGTGATAACTACAGAGGCATCACTCTTCTCTCAATACCGGGAAAAGTCTTCAACAGAGTATTGTTAAACAGGATGAAGGACTGCGTAGACGCCCAACTTCGTGACCAACAGGCAGGATTCCGTAAGGATAGATCGTGTACAGACCAAATCGCAACTCTACGAATCATTGTGGAACAATCAATTGAATGGAATTCACCACTCTACATCAACTTCATTGACTACGAAAAGGCATTTGATAGCGTGGACAGAACAACACTATGGAAACTTCTTCGACACTACGGCGTGCCTCAGAAGATAGTCAATATCATACAGAGTTCATATGATGGATTACACTGCAAAATCGTGCATGGAGGACAGTTGACAAAGTCGTTCGAAGTGAAGACCGGTGTTAGGCAAGGTTGCTTACTCTCACCCTTTCTCTTTCTCTTGGTGATCGACTGGATCATGAAGACGTCAACGTCTGAAGGAAAGCGCGGGATACAATGGACATCTAAGATGCAGTTGGATGATCTAGACTTCGCAGACGATCTGGCCCTTCTATCCCAAACGCAACAACAGATGCAGGACAAGACGAACAGTGTGGCAGCAGCCTCAGCAGCAATAGGTCTCAATATACACAAAGGGAAAAGCAGGATTCTCCGATACAACACAGAATGCACCAATCCAATCACAATTGACGGAGAAGATTTGGAAGATGTAAAAACCTTTACATATTTGGGCAGCATCATTGATGAACAGGGTGGATCCGATGCAGATGTGAAGGCACGGATCGGCAAAGCATGAGCAGCATATTTACAACTTAGGAACATCTGGAACTCAAAGCAACTGTCAACCAACACCAAGGTCAGGATTTTCAATACAAATGTCAAGGCAGTTCTACTGTATGGGGCAGAAACCTGGAGAACTACAAAAGCCATCATCCAGAAAATACAGGTGTTTATTAACAGTTGTCTACGCAAAATACTTCGGATCCGTTGGCCGGACACTATTAGCAACAACGTACTGTGGGAGAGAACAAACCAGATCCCAGTGGAGGAAGAAATCAGGAAGAAGCGCTGGAAGTGGATAGGACACACATTGAGGAAAGCACCCAACTGCGTCACAAGACAAGCCCTCACATGGAATCCTGAAGGTCAAAGGAAAAGAGGAAGACCAAAGAACACATTACGCCGAGAAATGGAGATAGACATGAGAAAAATGAACAAGAATTGGATGGAACTATAAAAGAAGGCCCAGGACAGAGTGGGTTGGAGAATGCTGGTCAGCGGCCTATGCTCCATTGTGAGTAACAGGTGTAAGTAAGTAAGTAAGTAATGTCTTACCTTAAATAATAAGAAAAAATATCTCGCAAGAACATGAGTTAATAAATTATCTGGTGAAAAACGTTAAATCTTTAGTAATTTTATAACTAATAACAGAATTATATCACAGATAGTCACTTTGTTATTCGCATATACCAGAATGAGTAATTAAATGTAAGCACTCAAATTACATTATAAGTTCAGTCTGTTACTGAGATTCAACATAGTATGAAATATATATCTCAAGTAAAGGATTTATTCTATATTCATCTTACTTAAATGAGTCGTAAGCCTGATATTGCTGTTTTCGGAAAATCTATTCTTTGTGTACTACCACCTTTTGAGAGCATAACTAATAGGTGATCAAGGTGCATGCAAATTTATACAGCTGTATGCACAAGGCTAAATAAAAATGTTAGACAGTACGCATGAATTACTTAACTCTTTTTACATTCGACAAACAATTAGCGGAATATGAGTGATTGTGGCAAATAATACTTCAGAATCAATATCTGTACATGTATATACTTGTCTGACTATTGCTTTGTGGTATTATCATTAGCACGCTTTTCCTACAATAAAATACTATATACTTAAGAACTTATAATAATCTGGGTTATCCACATACTGAACCACTAAGAACTTGTGCTTTATCCAACCACACAGAGTGATCTTGCGTAGAATTATTGACTCAACACATGATTGGTCAGTATGCCGATCTTTAAATTGATCTCTAAGTTATAAACTACATTACGATGGAAATAGGCTTGCTGTCATTTGGATAACCCTCAGTCAATTAACGTTATCTTAGTATTTATTCAGAATTATGAGGTAAATATCACGTGGTTAACTGGTAACATATCTGTTCATATTTTCTATCTTAATTTGAAATTTTCTCAAAAGCCCAATATGACCAATGTTTTTAATCAGCTGTATCTTTCTCCTTTTTTACTAAGCTATTTCGTAGAAAATATAAGTTTTTGAAAAATAATGTATTGGTCCTTGAGGTTTTGTTCATAGTTGTACAAACAGGTATCTTTATAGAAAATACTTTAAGACAAGGAGTTTTAAAGAATGGACACACATATACCCTAAGATAGCTTGAATGGTTGTTCTATTCTTGGATTCTCTGCATCTCCCCCCTTTCTAGAGTCAATCATATCTTGGCTTTATTAAACTTCATGGGCGTTGACTAGTAAGCTAAACATTGCAAATATGACCTTAATGACGTATATGAGCAAGCACACAAAATGAGGCCGCGTGACTAAATTATTTCATAGGATACCTTTATAGAAAATTCCATTTTACGAATACCAGCGACAAAAAATATTTATTTTATATTCCTTTACCTGCCCTGTAATGAAAAGTTTTTCTGATCATATACTTCGTTGTTGTGTACCTGGTTCTAATAAGGAAGTAATATAAAATTAACTAAAATTGATATTTATCACATTTCTTGGTTGTAAAACTCTCACGACTAATGGGAAATAAGATTATTACATAACTTAAGTTATTTTAAATAAATCCCTTACAATTGTTTTTCCTCTCATAATTTTTACAAATAGTCGTATCACAAATTTTCGTAAAATAAGGATTCGTTCAGTAAACTGATATCAGATATCTATCTTGTTAAAAACAGTTGACTGTTTGTATACGGATATGAAAGACTGACTACTTCAAGATTCCTTTGTTCGTTAAACGATAAAATCTTTACAGCTATTGCTTTGTAAAGAACAAGCATTAGTTGAAAGTCAATTTGCATAGCACTAAGCATAATCAAATATATACATATTGCAATATATTTTGACCAAAATTCTTAGTACTCTGAATTCGCATTGCTTAATGAACATCATAGATAAGCCTTATTCCATTTGGGACAATCTTTTTAAAGATTTTCTTCTTATACGATAAAGTTGACCACAAAACCTTGACTTTAGTACGCTTTTCCAATGAAACATGTCATTTCGACTAATTTCTTCATCTATACTGGAAACTTACTGAGTCGTTTTTATGCATAACAGCATAAAAAGTAACCTGCTGTTAGTGAAAAACAGGTGATGAGATGTTTTCAGAATTGTACAACTTCTTGCCATTTCCATCTTAATCTTCATTGTTTCAACCATGGCCAATTAGCTTGCTTTGAATTTTTTGAAATAGATCTTCTCAGTATAATGTTTTGGCCTAAGGTTTACTTCTTGACAGAATAATTTCTAAATATTTTTGTTGAACAGCCTATTTTGAAGTTCATTATAAATTAAGTAATAGTAAACCCCTATCTATGGAACTTCGTTAAAATGAAGCCTTTTTAAAACGGTGAAAGTATAACGTATGGAATGTAATCAATCACAAATTGCTTCTTAAGAACATGACCACTTTTCCGTATACATAATGCTCATTTGCAAATTGTGCCATTTTTAAAACGATTCCATTTTTAATATATCTTAGTGTATCTTAATAATGGCTAATAAATAATAAGATTACAGAACCAATGTTTCCTGATGTTTTATCAGTCGGAACATTTCTAATGCCATAAAATATCTGGCAGAAACCTTAAAGAACGTCAGCAACTTTTTATCAAATATTAGAATCAAATTACTGATTTCGGTATTCGGCAATTCTAGTATTGATTGTTTCCCAATAGTACTTAAAGAGAGTGAATCTTCTGTTCAAAATTTTTTCGCAAGTTTGTTAGTCACTAGAGAGAAATATTCACTGAGTACATTAATTAGAATTGATGTGCATACAGATTTTTACAAACATTAAATAAGTCCGCAAGCTGTGATATTAGAAAGGAATACAGGGATAATCACCAAATATTGTAACCGTAGTCTGGACAGATATTAGTCGGAATAATTAGATGAAATGTACGTAACACCATAACACAGTAGAATTTGATTTCGAAATATGAAACAATTAATATTTATTATTAATATACTAATTATGCATAAACAAAGCATATATATAACACTCGTATAATAAAAACATTAATTAGAGATAAACTGAAATCAAAATGATATGTGTTGTAATTTTTATAAGGCAAAAATATGTAGTAAAAAAGGAATGATAAACGGAAGATATGTTTATGTATGGGTAGTATAGTTTCTTTTGTTCTGTGATAGCTTTCAATCTCTAATGAAGTGCTTCTTAGGTCTCACAGAAAAACAGTAAATCATTTATCACTGATAAAGCTAATATTTTTTTATTATTTTGCTGATTTTGTATTCATTCACATTTAATATCTCTGTTTAACTAAGATGTTTATATGATATGAAGAGTGGAAGTCAGAACAAAGCTCATATTTGAGGTATGAAAAGTCATGAAAATTCATGTAATGGACAATTTCAACACATTACAGAATATATATCATATATTTTGATATGTTTAAAAACTATCAGTATTTTATAAGCAATCACTGAAATCTTTACTAGTTTATTGTAAAATGTAAATAGCAAAAAGTCCCATTCACTTAACACGTTGATGAAACATAACAGTGGTACATGTATCAGATATTTTTCTTGTAGAGGTATACTGACTGTAAACGAATTTGACATTTTTGTGAATGGTAAGGTTTTACAAGAGGAAGACAATAAATTCCTAACTATATTAAACAAAAATCAACTGCCATAATAATAAATAGAAAACAAAACAAATTATAAGCAATAAAGTTACACGAATATATATACTATAGGTGAATAAAAAGTTACATTTGTAGGCTAAAATTATAACAACATAGTTTTAACAGAAGCACCGTTCCCTATGAGAGTTTAAATCCATAGAAGTTTATCATACAATAGTTTTAATGATATTTTTCACATCCAGGTTAAAAATTAACGTTGTTTATTAAGTAAGCAGTAACAATAAATATACTAAATTGGAATAGAGTAAAAAGCATTCGAAAAAAACTGAATTTATAAGAATTAGTTGAGTAATATGAATATACAAGAGAACAGTCAACTGTTGAAAGAACAGTACATATACTTACATAATTTTTTTATGTAACTTTTCCAAGTTATTTGTTTACATTTTATGGAAGAATGTGACAAACTCAGTCTTTTCTTCAATATTTAATCTCCCATTCATTCATTACACATTCTATCTACATTTTCGGTAAAATTTTCTTCAAACATATGAACGGATGATTCAGATAAAAACATCGTTAAACCTTTGGACGCACTAAATGTTTGCGTGTTGTTTAACCAATACGAATCATTTGTAATAAATTCTTGCATTGTATCATTTTCAGCTGCCAAATTTTCAGGCCATTGAGGTTGTTTCTGCTGATGGGCTTTATTGCATAGCAGACTGTCAGGTATATTACTGCGATTATCAGTAGTATTGCTAATCAGAGAATTATTCCATTCTTGTGATGGCAAATCAGAGGGATCAAGAAAATTGTCATTATTAAAGCTAGCTGTTAAATTAAAGTCAATATCCAATGGAATATGTTCATTATTTTCAACTAATTCATTTAATGAATCGAAATCTAGATCAACGGAGTCCAAACCAAGGTCTTCTAAGATGGAATTATTACTGTTGTTATTATCATCAGTTGAAGAGCGATTACTTGATGGATCAGTCGTTTGTTTAGAACTATTTATAAATAGATCCTGTTCATTTTTTTCTGCCTTAAATAAAAAGGAGGATGTGGTCAGGGAACATGAAGAAGGTGGTAAAGTTGATGAAGTTGGTGATGATAAAGATATAGGTGACGAACGTAGTGTTGAATTTGAATGAATGCCTGATTCAAAACTTTGATTGCTAAATAAATTGAAAGACTCATCATTATGTTTATTGTCACTAAATAAACAGTCCAGATCACTATGATTTTCATCTGACAAGAATACTGACGCCCAAATAGGCAACTTTGATTTATCAGTCGTTGATGGTGTATTCATTATATTATTATCAGTTGTTTTAGATAAGAAGTAGGTTTTCTCAATAGAATCATTCATAACAAATTCCGATTCTACTGTTGACTGTGATGTTCTCAGACCATCACTATTATTATTATTATTATTATCATTATCATTATCACTATTATTATTATTATGTGGTGAACACTGATTTTCATAGGTATTATATGATGAAGAATGAAAGTTATCTGTTGAGCTGAAATACAAATTAATATTATTCGAATGACAACGAAAGACTGGAACAGAAGAATTCGATAAAGATTCAGATAAAATGACAGTTTCTTCGTTATTGGTGGTAATGAAGTTAGAATTGTATTGGCACTGCGAATCGTTTACTGGTTGACAATATGTATTGTAATTGGGTAAACAATAATCCTTGTATAAATCACAAGACGATAAAGTATTACTCTTAACTAGTTCTGTCTTTCTCAACTCTGTATTTATGTAATCAGATGTCGTGTCTGCTAGACGGTTTTCAACTTTGTTTAGCGGTGGCCAATTATTATGGGAAGTTATGCTGTCATTTATGCAATTAATATCATCATTATCACTGTCTATAAAATCTAATAATGGACTTAGTCCATTTTTTTGTAAGTGATCACTATGATCCCATTGTGCCACTTTATCCTTTTCATATTTTCTTTCCTTTCGTCTATTAGTAGTTTCTAATGTATTCCTATCGTTCCACTCATTTTCTTGTTTGCTATTTTCCAAGTCATTCATTGTGATTGGATGTGGACGAGGGAGTGACCAACGGGAATACCTTTGCCGTGGCTAACGAACAAAATTGATGTCAAAAAGAGGAGTTTTGTATCAACGAAAACCTGACACGTTTACATAAACAAACAAATATTTAAGAAATCATGAAACAAATATCAATGAAAAATATGTTTTAACAGTATATGATATTAACTATTACTTCATAATTTAGTTGTTTTTATATAAAAATCCTGTTTATAGGGGTTTACATCTTCCGTTTATTGCTGCTAAAGGTTGTAATTGGTCATTCTATGTTGGCATGTGTTCATATTGAGTGTATTATCTCAGTACCACCATTTAATCATGTTTTTTGGTTACCTGAAAATGTAAACTCTTACATATGAATTTCATACTTATTGTGCAAGCTAGTATCTACGGGAGCTCAGGAATTGACTGGATGATACGTCGGCGTTTGAAGCAAAAGGTTGTGGTTTCGAATCCCACTGTGAATATCAACACTAAGATCCAGGTGCACTCAGTTGAAGAGTCCCACATGGGACGAAACACATATCCAGGACTCTGCTACTAGGCACTAGTGACATTTGTTAAGGGAATTACGTAGTCTCTGTTGTCGAGTTAACGAAATCAACAACACTATTTGAAGAAAAGTCTTATATCTCTAGTCGCTTGCAGTTATCTTCACCAATAACAGTATACTTGAATGAGATATAATTTTTTGCCAAAGTATACTCAAAATCAAAAACTAGGTGATTTAACTATTTTGACAACATGAATTTTCCCGTTTTTAAATTTAAGGTAGTTCTAGATTTACAAAAATACTCAAGTATGACTACTGGTGCGGCTTACAGCAACTGTCGTCATCAAGTTTCCAAATATAAATTGAGAAATAAAAAAGTAGAATAATGGTAACACTCACGACAATTTTATGGTTTATAAACTGCCGACCAATATAAGATTGCTTTCGGGAATAAGCAAAAAGGAGAATGCAGATAACTTACAATAAAAAGGTAACTATTTTCATCCCATATGGAGAATAACGTCTCAGCCCCTATGCTTTATATATCAGTCAATATGCTCGAGATACAATCTCACTTTACGTTTCGTCTTATTTGGTACCCGTCAGCTGGATGTACCTGCATCTCAGAGCTGATGTTCAATCTGGAACTCGAACCCAGTACCGTTCACTTCAAACGCCATCGCGTTGTCCACTTAGCTACTGAGCCCTGATAGCCACGTGTGAATTAAAGCAATATCAGGGCAATACTCACAGGATGCACATATGCCAATAAGAGACTGACCAATTACAGTCCTAAACATCAATGGGTAGATTCAAGTAAACAATGCCAAGTGAATTTAGAATCTCACCTTGTTAATCATACGTCCTACTTTTAAATAGGGAATCAAAGTATAACAAACTTATGAACAGCTTATGATGTACATATGAATTCCATGATTATATGTTAAGCTTTCGAATCAAGTGGTTACTAGGGATTTGGCTTCACAACACTAACTTGTTTAGCTTCTAACTCAAAAATTTAGCACTTTGAAAACTTTATGAAGTGATGAAATAAGTTACACTATCTTCTAGTTCTAGAAAGTGAACTCACTATCAGGTTGTTCTAAAAATATCTACTTAACTCTTGGGTTGAATTACATTGTCAGTTTCGGACCTTTTTTATTGAAAATTGACCGTTTCTCGAGATTATGTCTAAACACGCACTAGTGCTTTTGGTTATAATGAATCTTTCAGAACAGCAGATTTCGACAGAAATAACCTAGGTTTATTTTTATATTCACTGACAAGAATCAGCATTTGATAATAGTGTTAATGTTTTAATAAAAATGTGACTTTTTTGGGTTACGTGACTACATTAGTAAAGTGCTTGGTTAAAGTCTTTCAGATTTCTGCATAATCTAGAATGAGATCACTGTCTACGCAGTTATCAATTCTAAATTCTTTGGTCATACTGCTTACTTCATATAGTCAATATCTGTCTGTTTGCTATGTATAGCCTACCATACAAGCAATTCACTTATAAAGGAATAAATTGCAGACGAGTCGTATGAATAAAATGGACTTTATTCGGAATCAGATACAAAAACCGGAAAAATGTATGATATTTTACTATGTAGGTTTTTATTTTAGCCAGAATATTTTTCTTTTAAACAGGGAAGAAATAATCGCCATAAGTTTACAAATTAATGGGAATAAATCAAATTATAAAAGATTCTCGAATAATAAATATACATATCCTCGAATAACCTTGAAATTGTCATATATTTGGTAGGAGTAACCAATTAGTTTTTCACAGCATAACATCTATGATTGACTCTGTGATACAAACATTTAGGTAGATGGGCTCGATATTCTCCCCTCTGTTTATTCCGAAGGGAACAAAAATTACGAAAGGTTAGGTTGGGTGACTTTTTTATACGTTCTTTTATTCATATAACCTTAAAAGTTTAGTGTGTCTGTTCAACTAACTAACACTACTGAGGTAAGAAATGAATTGGTTAATGTTTTTTTTTTCGAACTGTGTCATGGCTAGGTACGAATTATCGGTTAACTTTAGTAAATGCTCAAAATTCAATTGGTTAGTGAATTCTAACAAGAAAAACTAAAAAAACCACGCTTCATGAAACTGCTTAATTTTTTTATTTGAATTTCTATCATGCAAGGGGACATAATCCATCAACTAACAAATTTAATAAACTGTAATAAAAGAATAAGAAGTTCGTTGGGGAATAATTGCTAATATGCATAATGGTAATATCTGTCGTTGAATAAGAGCTTCGAAAGGTGTTAGATGTGCAGTGAAACTGATTTTTAACGAATATTTCATAATGTATTCTAGACAGTAAAACAAAACACTAAAATAATTAAGGAATAACACCGAAAACAGTCGGCCTAAACTAAGGGATGTTAGCTGGCTCTGAAGCATTATATCCTGTAGAGCAATATAGAGATTATAAGGATTTGTGTAATCATTTATGTAGTTATTTTCTACAATAAGTCATAAAGAAACATCGAATAAATTGTTATTATATAATAATTGAAACTGACAAGAGTAAATTAATTTCTTATTACCACTGTCTTTTAGTATAACTAAGGAAAATTTGAATAAAACTTGAAGTTTCCATGTGTACAGTAAGACGTGGAATTTTTACATATACAGCAAGTACTTACCGGTAGCACTCGAGTAGGGAGTGCTTTCATTTCGTTTGATCCACACTGTTTGATAGTTTGTCTCGATTTTGATCTTTTAAAGCGTTCAGTAATAGAACTACGATTGTTGATTCGAGACTTATCCAGGCTAGCTTTGGATCGTGGTTTACAAGATGAATGATAATCTGACTGCTGATCCAACAAGTCAATATTATTATTGCGTAGTAGGGACTGACGTTTATAACTAAATGGATTCAGATTAGAATTATTATTCACTCGGGTTTTTCTGGCACATTCTGAGTGAAGATTTGGCGTGGTATGATTTGGATCATATACATTTAATTTCGGATGTATATTGAGTGATTTATTTATTGTATTTGTTGTTGAATGGGCATTTTCAGCCAAAGACTGAGAAATCTCATTGTCAGAAAAACCATCATCTGACTCAAATATAGCATTTTGTGCAATACTTTCTTGTAAGTGATTTTTAAACAGAGGACTTTTACGTCGATGACATGGTATTGCTTGTGTTAAATATGACTGTGATATATTAGCAGATAAAGAAAGAGGTGGTAAAGTTGATGAGTTGTTCAATTCAGAATGTATACTACGGTTCATAAAAAGTGTATGAACTCCGTTTGGATATGTTGTATGTCCTGGTGTTATTGGAATCCTAGCAGACTGTAAATTCGCAGGTGAGCCAACAGAAGCGAATGACAATGGAGATGATGACAAGGAAGAGTTAGAAGATGGTGACAAAGCTGCAATTTGATGAGTTTTAGCTGGGTCATTTGAAGATTCAGAAATACAAATGTTTGCATTGAATGGTGAATTTGTAGTAGCATGATTGCCAATCGAAACAGACGGTGGAGATAGCATTAAATTTCTTGGCAATAGTGCTTGCTGACACTGATTTTGCTGTTGCATTTTACGTTGTTGTAGTAACATGGACCTTGGGATTGGAGGTGGAGGTCCTGGAGGAGGTGCAGCCCGTCGACATTTGGCTAAATTAGCTTCAAGCCAATCAATATGTCTTGGATTCACTCTCCAAAAACCACCCTTCCCTCTTTCACCCTTATCACGAGGAACCTTCTCAAAACATTTGTTGAGTGAAAGGTTGTGACGCACAGAGTTCTTTGAAAGTTAAAATAAATATATGCGGTGTTTTTAATTAATATTCGTATCAAATTATAGCTATTAAATTCAATGGAAACGTATTCACTTTTATTTCATAAATATATTCTGAACTCTGACATTATTTTGATAGATGTTGTTAATCTTTTCCGTACTCTTTGCTGTAGCAATAACTACTGGACTAGTAAAGATTTCCTGTTACATTCACCTCATAATTTTTTTTTATTTTATCAGCAATCAAAACTATTTGGATGAAAACATTCTGACTAGTTTTCTGTATTGCTGGGAGACGTTATTCATTCATTCAAACTAGTTAGGTATGGAGTTTTATGAGATAGAAAACATATTACATATAGTCAGTCAGTCAGTAACAATGTAGAACTTCGTACGTGCGTACATCAGTTGCCATACCACATTAGCACACAGATGCAATTGTCTATTCAAATCCCGTAGTGGTAGAGGTAGTAAGAGTATAAGCAGTAATCGGAATGATTAGGGTTTGAAGATACTCCAAGAATATTACTCACCGACCACAAAAGTTTAACTCATTAAATAGATAAAGGGAATTTTGTTACAAAGACAAAAGACTGAAGACTGATAACAGTATAGGTAAGTCCCTACAAACTAGTGTACAAAACGCATTAGAACTAAATGTCTTAAATACTTGGTACATGTTAATGTTGATATCCTTATAAATTTTCATTAAACATCGTCAAAGTGGCCGATACCATAAACTTTTCTGGTATCGCTTCAATTCTGAATAAAACAGGTAAACACATAGCCTTCTTTAATAATGAAAGTTCACAACAATGAATTGAGTGTATATTATATTACGCACTAGATGCTCAGAAATTTAAGTAACGTTTAAAATCATCATCTGATCTACCTGATCTGGAAGTCTAAAGTGTTGTTTGTTTGAAATCATATCCAATAAGTAATTATGTACCAGTGCCACCAGATCACTGTTTCTTATATTAAAATAAGTAAGAAGGAAATAGTTGAAGCCCATCGATCTCATTCTTACAATTCATTAATTAGTTTAAGTTAAAAGGGGATATTCTCTTACCAACTGATTACATAGAAATTATAATCTTCTAACTTGTTAACCCGCATTATAGTCAGTGTCATAAAAGTATTTCAACCTGAAAAATGTTATAATTATCATCAAACTTATTAAGAGCAGAATGTAACCCATAGTCGGTTTATTAAATGTATGTGTGCAATATAATCCAAATAAATCTTGAAAGCCCTTATCACAGTTAGAATGTAAACTTCATTTTAAAATTATTTTGATGAAGCAAAAAATCTGTACCAAAAATAGGTGCGAAAACCAGAATCCTAACAGATCGATAAATACTGTCAAGTAATTAACTACTTCGAGAAAAATGCGGGTTTTTATACGAGATACCATATTTATGTAAAACAATAATGTTAATAATTGTTCAGTATTTATTTTATTTCGTCCGACAGATATGTAATCAACACTTTATTGATAGACTGTATACTGCTTTAGAATAAATAGACGGACCAGATTTTGTCTGGATTAGTCAAACTTATCGATTTTTGATTATTTGTAATTGTCTCTCTGTATTTTTCAATGACGATGAAATTTCATCACTCCCTTGAATTCTAGAGAATTAGTTATTTCTTTCTTGGAAATATGTCACCAAGTGATGAAGGATTATGCGTCGTAGATCAATAAAAAAGTCTTAATCTTAAACCTTTTGGGTTTTTTTGGAGTTCCAACTGAACGCCAATTCAGTGTAAGGTTCCGTTATGCATAGAAATATTGAGATGGCTACATTTATTGAGATAACAAAATTATATAAAAAGGGCATGGAGGGCTTTCATTTTTTTGGGCGAATCAATTTGCTTAAAATCTTGCCAGCTACTCATAATTTGAAGTGAAATGTTAGGTTATTTTATGAGTGGCAGTACGGCATGCACTGCCATATAATAACCATTGTTATTTACTTATTTTAAATCTTAGTAAATAATATTAGCCTACCAAATTTTACACTAATCCCTAAATGTTGTTCGAAAGTCTCAAGTACATATATTCCATCATGTAGTTCCGGTTGTTCAAACGTAACCATTGTAAGCAACCTCTTGATTTACTAATATTTCTCAGTTATATGATAAAACTATAACATTGTAAACACTAAATGTTTTATCACAAATTATCTATTTGTGTAGTGTTGCAATCCGTAAAATCAGACGTTTTAAAAATAAGCTCAAGGTGATAGTTATTATGGTCATTTGTTTCAATTATTAGTTGCTACCTGTCTGGAAAATATTTTAAGTTTGAAAACAACCGAAATTTGCTGTTACAACAAAACATTTCACGCATAGCTAATTGCCATCACTTCTAAAACTCTTCAAAGTATGTGTAATTAATGCATAGCCTTTTGAAAATTACAGGGTAACCAATGTATCCACACGAAATTTCATTTTAAACCAAGAGAAACAGTGTAAGAGATAATAACACAGAGAATTCGTAATTGAAATTAATTCCTAAATAATTTAACTGAATATAAAAAATAACAATAATACACCAAAAAATAGAGATATACAAAGAATTAACACTAGTTGTTGCTCTAGGAACAAATAAATTTGGCTAAATCCAATCTATTAAAGTGACCCAGACAACAGACCAAATGTGATTGTTTAGAATTTAAAAAAAGCTCAGCAGGAATTACATGACAGAGAAGTAGAATTTTTATATGAATAATTTAATTTTCCATATGAGTTGAAGCTTTGAAGTTTTAACTAGATTTCATTATTTTTTAATTCGATAACAGATGCATCAGTTAGACAAAGCTAAGTATTAATTATCTACATTCATTGCAATGGTGAAAATAGTATCGAGCAAAACTGATAACCAAAAGTTACCAGTGAGCTATATTACTAAATGATTTCTACAAAATTATTAAATGTTCCACAATGTCAAAATGAAACATCTTTTATGATAAGATTATTACCGGTTTAAATAATAATAGTCTAGATATATGAGGATACTTATGGAATTTTCTTTTTTTTTGAAATCCCACATACAGTACGAACATACATAAATGGTGCTGTACAAGAAAGTCTGAGAAGTTTTGACCGAATTTTCAAAATGTAATTGATATAAATAAGGAATAAGTAGGGACTAAATTACACCTGTAGTGATCAAAGAACTCAAGCGGGGGAGACCAGTCTATTTTTCAATGCAAAATTACAGAACATCTTTGTAAAACATGAAAACCTATACACTAAATACATCGTTTGCACATCTTCCATCACTTACAAACTTCATCGTTCCTTCATTACTGTTGTTATTAGAATTACTCTCTATTTACATTTCTGCTCACTTCAATTGAATCTTTTCAATCTTCTACTGGTGTGCATTTCACTTCCGACTGATGAAACGTACTACTTATATCTGTCAACATAAGTAGCAAACGCCACACACCTACATCTAATTCTGGTCTCCATCAGATTGCAAGCTGTGTCCGCTTGAAACTGTCCGGAAGCAAAGTATTTGAAAAAAGGACATAATAATACTTGAGAACTAACGTCATACATTCATCTCAAAATCACTAGGTATAAATCATAACACAGATTGTCAAGCAATGATCTTTGCATTTTATGGAAATATCTAATAATTGTGTAAAACCACTTCGACTAAATTCACGGAATCATCAAACAATGTCTAAAATGACCTATTTTATATTCTAACATAATTTTTTGATACTAGCTAACATATAACTATCGGAATACGGTAACTATTATCTTAAGGAGATATCAAATTTACAAGATCAAATATCCATATGTATACATATGTGTATGCTTTTTCATTTATTGAGTAAATGCAGTATGAAACTAGATAAATAATAACCCTTACTAAATGAACACTATATCCTTAAACTCAACAAACCTAAAAAGCATAACTTACCATGTAAAATTTGAATTGTGATCGATTTCAGTGTTAAGAAAGTGTGACACTTTTTGAAGGTATGATTTTTTCAGTCATTTTATGTATAAATTATTATAAAATAACTGTAATTTGTATCTGTTAGGAACTAATAAGAACAAAGAAACATAAGTGAAATAGTTCAGTCTACTTTTTATCATAGAACACGTGTGGAACAAGATAGAGTTTGTGACCGTTGATACTGAGATCCAATAGTCAATTATATGTATACAGTCATCAGGCTAAATAATATCATATAAAAGTATGTGGTAATAAAGCTATCTACCTGAACGGTGGAATAATCATAATTTAGTTTTCAATAATAATGAAAGCAGAAAATCTGCCTACAAATTGCTCACAAGCATAGAATAGCCAGTTATAAATTATGACGTTTTCTGGATGCTTTTGGTAATTAAATGAAATAAGATACAAATTTCTTGTTTAGTACCACGAAAACAAAGATACACTTATAAATAAAAAAGAAGATCTGAATTATCAGTATGGAGATTTGTGGCGATTCTAGTATTTTCATAGTTGAATTCACGAGTCGACCACCAGCGAAAACACTACGATCTCCACAAATCCTCAAGCTGATAATATTCATATGCTCACTAGTGACTAGCTTTGAGATGAATCATCTGGGGTTCTAGTGAGAAGCCGTAACCAGTGGAGTTCAATCCGTGCTGGGTGTAAGACATTTATCCACCTCAGACAACGGATGATGGGTTGCTCAAGACCACGAATCTATTGAAGTTAGACGTTGACGCCGTTAGATACCGGCTTGTTGGTCGGGAAGTTAAGCGTTTGAGCGTGAGACCGAAAGTCCTGGGTTCGAGTCCCGCGTTCTGGATCGTGGATGCACACTGCCAAGAAGTCTCGTACTAGAACGAAATGGCTGTTCAGTGCTTCCAGGTTTTTAGTGGTGGTCTAGCTTAGATCGACTCGAAAATTTGACCGAGAAAATCTGGACAGAGTTTGACTAATATGTTGATAATATTTAAATATTTATTAGGAAGCAGGGGCTTTTTAATCCTTGTATAGCCAATTACTCCTTAGCTATGACATTACTATAGATAAAATCTGAAACTTTATGCATTCTCAAGGGTTAAGTTGACCTTTCAACCACCAAGATGTACTCAATTAGCTGGCATTTCAATGCTTTCTAAAATAAAGATTACTTAATAATGATAACAATAATCCACTTGATGAAACGTAGAAAGGTAAGTGAATGGAGTATAAGTTTCCAGATTACAATTCTAGCTCAGTTCGATTTGTTTTCAGAGTATAATATTATTGCGTTAAAACTACTAAATAAGATCTACGAATTTTAAAAAGGAATCATTAAAAATTGTGATAAATAACTGTCTAAATTTTGTGATTGATCGATTCATATATCGATGCACATTTTAGCACGCAAAAATAAATTGTTAGCTGTGAATTTAAATGTTTATATCTTCAGTAACCAATATTTGTTAGAAAAACAACGCAGCCACAAAACCCTGTCGTAATTTGCATGAATTAAGTATTCCACCACTCTTGAGAAGTATATTATTAACAAACATAAAGTAAAAGTTTGAGACAGAAACCTATCAAAATGTGAAACTTTTTAACATAATGGTGTTCTTAAGGGTGGAATTAAACAAGTACCAGAAGGCGATAAATGCTTCAAAATAAAAACACTGTTCTTAAACGACTATAAATTATTGGCCACATTTTCCCACTATTATTTAAACAAACCAACGCTCATGAGAACAGTGCTAATCTACTCTAATATTCACTTATCACTACCATCAGTGACAGCATTAGATTTTCTGTTCGTGATCTCCTGATACACGTTAATCAAATTTTACGATTTGAGATCGTGAATGTTAAACATTGATACACATATCAAAGATCTTTAAGGGTTTTTTAAAAAGAAATCGCTCAATTTTTTAGTTAGCTGATAAAATTTGTTATATGTGATGTATAACTTGAAGTATAATGAAGATAAGTTGAAGCTCACCGTTCTTCTGTTAATACTAGCAGAAAATCTATATAAGATATGTAGGAAACTTAGCTTTGAAACCCATATGAATTCCTTGACACTAATATTTAGATAATTAAAATTCTGTCAGATATCATCTAAATATAAATAAAGTGCAAACTTTAGGTTCTCTTTCTGTGCATTCGGTTGATCGTTGAGCTGAACATACCAAAGTAGGATGCAAATTAAAAAGGGCTTAATAGAAAAAAGCACAAGAAATTTCTCATTAATGAACCACAATGATTTGCTTTTTGAAGCCAAGTCCATAGTCTTTGAAAGGTTGATTTATTACCTGAGTTACGTTCAAGATACAACATCAATAGCCCTGAAAATTTGTTCCTTCTAGAGATCAATAGTCACATTTAAAACGGAAAAAATACTTACAAACGTTTGTTCTGTGTTTTTTTTTCGAGGCATTTGTAACATTTGGACAATAAAAATGCACCGGTTAATCAGATCGATAAGCGACATCAAAGGGATGGGAGAAGAAATTTAGTCTCATGATACTCAAAAATACAGAAATTGTTGTATAGAAAATTTAGTTGACTAATTACTCCAGTTCCCTTAAAAATAAGAACGAAAAGACTTAAGATTAACAGATTAGGTTCTGGTTTTACTAGTTCTTATGAGATTGCTAACATTATCATTTTAATAACACTAAACCATTCACTTCTAAGTGATATGGTCGTTTATTTTATCTGTCTTGCCCCTTTAACCAAAATATTTGGGCATTGAAGCAAATAGTCCGATCCACATATTACCACAGAAGTACTTTTTACTGTGTATACATTTTAGACCTTTAGTAAGGTAATAGAAAACCTGAAAAATAGTTTAATGAAAAATCAATCATGCCATCGAATATTTTTTATGTCAAGGAAAGTTTGTCGAAGAAAATCTTGAACTGCGAAATACGTTATTGATCAAGAAAGGGCTTATATAAATTTTTGGATGGGTCATTTAGTTAACTTTGGGAGATGTCGAAATCAGAACGTAAGGGTAACAGAAAAATTGACTTATTATGAGATACTCAGTAGCCTTTTACCTTTTGCTTACGAAATACACCTAAACCAACTATCGTTATTTTTTCAGGAACTCTGGAAATGATTTTGACAACTCACGTCCATTTTCGAAAATTAGGTAAACAGATCGTCAATATCAAAAACCTTCAAACATGTGTAAAGTTTTCACCTACCCTTCGTTTCCTAGGGCTTTTTTCCTAAATCATGTTTTTACGACAAACACTTATTATTCCGGAGGATAATTATAATTTTTGATTGTTTACCTAACAAAAAGTAAGTATATGGATGTTTTTTTATAGCTTGTTTGGTATTTTTCATCAAAGTCATTAAAGTATTGCTGTGTCGTTTTATACTGAATTTTCACAGCACTTTAAGTTTCTTACCCCTCTCCCTACATTCATTACACTTTGAAATAAGCATGGGTATATATGAACATACGTCATTTTTAGAACTGGGCCAGAAAAAAATTAAGAATAAATTTCGTGTGCTTCACCAAAGCATGAGGTTTATATATTCTGGTAAGAAAGATTTTGAAAACAACGAAGCTCTATAAGTTAGCCAAAATTTAGTCCTAAATCTTTAAATGCAAGTGGATTGTTACAAATTTGAATATTCAGCAGTTCTAACAAAAAGTACCCATGCATGTCCATTCTGGCCTACCTTTAACGGCTGGAATAATTCAAATAAACGTTTTTCAAAATTTAATACGACTTTCTGTCACGTGAATTGAGTATTCAAACTACATTACTATATACAACGTTGACGTCTTGCCTCTAATTTGGAGTAGAAGCATTAAAATAACAAATTGCAAAGGTAAACGTTCCACAAAGGTGTAAATAGGGATGAACTTTTCACTGATGTGATTGCTAAAAAGAATTATAGATCAGTTCATGTCTGCGTACTTTCACACATCCCCTTTTCCATGTTGTAAAGAAACGTAAATAAAATGTTACTAAAGCTATTTTCAAAGAACCCTCTACATTCCAGGTGATACTGATATCCTAAACAAGTTTGCTCAGTTTTTGCTGGCTTACCACTAAAAAAATAATAACCAACTCATACATAAGTAAAAATAAATAGTTCGCGTCCAACCTAAGTTAGACTTTCAGTTATTGAAGCCTAAATGTTTAAAATACAACTCAGTAAGATTTAGTTACTGGAGGACAGTGTACTATTAATAGACACAACACACTATCCATGAGATTATTAGAGCACTTAAAACAGTTATTTTCGATATTTTTGTATAAGCGTTCATTTATCAGTCAAATATACTTTTATACTACCCGTGACACTTTAAATTGGATCCCAATTAGAATACGAAACAAATACAACAAGAGAAATATTCTGTCCAAAAATTATTAGTTTCAAATCTTTTACTAAAGCATCATATCATTCGTATTTAATTCTATTTTTTATAATGAATCAGAAGACAGAACCTCATGAGACAACCTAAGTGAACAGTTGACCGCACATGTAATTTCCTTAACAGTCTAAAATAGAATAATTCCGACTAGTTTTTTAATGTACCATAATCAATGAGGTTCTATAAATTAATCCTACCCAAAAATCTATCAAATCAGAACCTTTATTTTGACTTTACGTATAAAATGACGAACTTGCTAGTTACTGTTGTTCTTAATTGCTTAGTAGAATGAAATTTGTATGAAAACAAATCATGAAGAGTAACCATACTCCACAATAATAATAAATACTCTATATCAAAAAAGCCAAATTGCAGGTACTGGTAATAATTACAGCATTTTGGGTTAGAATATGTATATGCAGTCCGAAATACTCCTTACCTGCCAGCTAGAATCTGTGTGGCGATAATATGCAAAGTTATTCATTATCCAACCATATATATCTGATAATGTGACTTTTGGTTTACCAAGTTCGCGCATTGCCAAGCAAATAAGTGTGGCATAAGAAAAAGGCGGCTTGCCAGTCCATTTCGTCCGATATTCTAGTCGTACTTGAGGATCTAACAAGCTACCTGTGATGGGTTGATTCCCGCTGCAGGAATATCTATTGTAATTATCTGTTAAACATAGAATTTGACTTTCATAAAAAACATACCATAGAGAGATAAACACACGTTAAATTCTTTTCCCTCAAAATGAGCAGTGGCTTCCGGATTCATTGAAACTGGATTAGCATCCTGACAAAGAAACTCAAATGAGAAAAAATTTCTTACATATAACCAAGTTAAACTAGTTAAAGAGTCATCTGTTTGGTCAGAATTCGACAGTTTCTGCATCCAGTTTTTTCTCAGTTTTTCGGCTAATAACTTGAGGTTTTTACCATACAAGTCAAATGACTGAGGATGAATGTTTAATGACATGAATAACAATTCGTTGAGAAATGACAAAGGTCAGAGAAGTATATCTGAGTCACAAAAAACAGAATCTCCGAAAAGTCTTCGACTAGTTGGAATATAAGTGTGATGACGCGTTCCAGGTCCTTGCTGGCTATAACGTTTATAAAGGTGGCGCGAAAGGTTGGAAAGTCTTCATATAAGGCGCTATTTCGAAGTTGCATCGACTATACTCTTGGTGATTTGAAATATTAAAACAAATGAATGAAATACTTACTTGTAAAAATATGTTGCCAGACGAATTCACAAAATAAGTTAAGAAAAATTTTAATCATAGAACTCGTAACTTTGATCGTAGGATAAAGTTATCTTTCACGAATTTGTGTATAGAATGGACAAGTTAATATCACGTAACGGAACGATATTTCGGTATTTCAGTTGGAATTTACTCGAATTCAGAGTTTAGCAGACTATGACAGGAAAACCAGAAATCAGAAAACGTGTGAAATATTACATTCGCGACAGTCTAAATCACTTTTACAGTCTACACCATTCTTCTTAAGAAATGTTCTTTGTAATGTTAGTTGAGCCGGAGTGTACCGACTATTAACGTTTATTTGTCTTTTTAGGCGCCCAGTTTACCGTCTTTTATTGGCCCATTTAGGTTGGATCCTCTCTCGCTGCTTCTCTTTCGAGTTCCGTCGTGTAGATAACTTGGAACAATCAGCAGTTGTTCGCAAGAAACATATAATTATGTTGATTTGTACCAATTTTACTTGTGTTAATTAAATTGACTTCAGTTGTGCTTTTTTTGATTGAGAATTATAGAACATGTTCAGAACTAAAATATATATTGCCTTTTGAACAGTCTGTACGTGAGTTGCGATGTTTCGATATTACCAAGTTGTTTTCGGCTACTCATTAACAACCAGGAGCGTGTCATATTTTTGAGACGAATATATGTTTTTAGTATAGCATTAGTTCGGTTGAAGGTCCATTCAGTAAGTTAAGTCTTTTAAGCATAGCTTTAACCACTCTCCTGATTGTTTTTTGGTTATGTGTCTACGCTACCTACTCAAAAGAAAAAACCTCAACATCTACATTTCATATGGAATGAGATTTAAAGTAGCAAAGGAGACATAAATTTGATAGATCAGCGATTTATCGTTGTCTGATCGTTTGAAAATTAAAGAGACAAAAAATGATGCAACCAAATTGTCTGTTTATTGATTTCCTGAAAAGCATGGTGACGAATTTCCTCTAAACATAAAATGAAGCCAGTATAACTGTCTTTGGGTCGATTATACTATTGTCTGAAGGTCGTTTGACGCAGGTAGACATACGCATCTTGATGCACAACATTAATTCTTTCCAAATGCGTGGTTATTTTGGTCCTGAACAATATAATAATAACGTATTCTAGAATAACAATGTTATGTGAGGCATGTCAATTTACAGGTAAGGAAGCACTGAGCTTCGAAACGTCTGAAGTAGTGAGACTGACAGGACTCACAAATGTGAACGAGGAAGAGCAGCAGTGATCACTTGAAATAGAATCCCCTTGAATACTATTGATAACATATATCATGAAAATTAAATGTGTGGAATAGTTGGCTGCCCAATCAAATGCATGCGTAAAACCAGGATTTAGCGTCATGACCACTTGATCTCACATTCATCCGTCAAGAGGGTGACGTTGAGAAATTGAATATACTCCAGCGCTGTGCAGGGGTACCCATACCTTATCAGTTCTTGGTTCAAATATTGCAGAATATAACGTTTGGTAAGCGAGTGAAAAAGAAATTATGCACACTGTTTATACTAGAAAGTTACGAGAATCCTTATTAGGAAAGGGTTTAAGGGGTATCCTCAAAATATTTCTAGTGAATCATTAAACTATCTGTACTCTTTTGAATTTACACTAACCAAAATCTCTCCCCTATTTTCGAATGATAGGATTTTTACTCTTCCTCTGAAGGAAAACAACCTAGCCGTGTAGGATCCAAACTACGGTTTGGATGTTGAAGAATAGCCGACCGGGGATTTTTAGACACGCGCCCTTTCCCGTCAAAATCAGAACAAGTAATCGGGTAACTAGCGGTTCTAAACAAATATTATCACCCGGCTATTCAACCAATGATTGTTCAATCAATTAAATCAATCACAACAAATCAACGTTATTCTATCCTGGCTGGATAGATCACACACAACAGGAGGAACAAATCAATATGGCTACCGCCAAGAACAAGTGTCAAGTAAAACAACGCAGATGCAGTTCAGGAAGAAACACAAACTTAGTGAATGCGTAATAAAAACAAAAACTATAACAAAAATACAAATATTAACAATTCAAATGTAATCAAAATACAACAATGTACAACTAATGCGATCAATAGGAATAAAGTACAAGTATATACATGGAGGGATTTTCACCAACACATAAAACCTTCAAAATGGATCTTACACCGGCCCCCAAAATCCCTCCATACCACACAAGCTACCTTGACGCCTACGGTCATGGTTCATTATATAACATATCACACCACAGGAACGAGTAGGACTTACAACAGTACGCCTACTCGACCTAACTACATTAATAACAACAAAGACTAATCCAAAGCTTCAAGGAGACCTGCTTCACCTGTTCTCTGGTGATCGACAATAACAGTCGTGATATAGGCCTAATCACTCTTCCCCAAACTCCACCCATGCTGTTGGATGAGGGCCTCGCTGACAATTCAATGTTTATCTTCTGATTCGACTGCTGCACAAACTTGCTTAACTCAAAAACTGTCCCCACGAAGCTTGACGCTATGACACTGTAAATCTCTGGAGGTTTCCTTCTTCTTCCAATAAAACGTAATAGAGCCATTAAAAATGAATCAGTAATCAAATTACACATCATTTCAATATGTACTGCCCATGTTTGCAAACAAGTAAGCACATATCCATACCCTTTTTCTAATGATCTTCCTATGTGTCCTTGTTCTTTAGGACAATGTCTAACAATCATTTCCGTCACTAAGTGTCGACTGGGTAAAATTACTGGATGTTTAAAAGCATTTGGGAAATCTGAGTATCTTAGTCGACCTCCAACGCAGAGTAACCCATCAAGCATCATCAACGATAAACCTTTCAGATCATCATGGCTTACTACTTTACTACTGTTCTTAAATTCACTAAGTAATTCTCCATACACTTCTCTCTGGACCATCAATAAAATCTTACGCTTGGCAATCTCAAGGTCTTTGACCTTTAAACATCCTAGATGAACGGATCCTTCACAACTCGGTAAACGAAGTACCATCAGGAATTCGATGAACCTTCTAAACCAGGTTACAGCTCTGACTAATTTCAACCACTCGGAATAATAAGAGAGAACAGGTGTCTTGTTGTACTTTATACTACTCAAGTTAACCACAGCAGTTTTTCTAAACTCAATATCGTCAAGAGTAGGTTCCGTACAGTCAGTGATTGTTATATAAAATTCGCCATGCAATAAAATAGGACATTTGAACCAAGATTCAAGATCGGTCATTTTTTGTATACTTCCTCTACATAATAATTCACTTATATGCTTAACGAAACTCTTTGCTTGATCACAAGTGGGAATGGATATCAAGAAATCATCAACATAGAAATTATTCTTGACATCATCTACAACATAACCATCATAACCGTTAGAGAATATTTGGGCCGTCTTATTCAGGGCAAGGTTCGCGCAAAATGGCGAGGATGTGGCATCAAATGGATGGGATGTCATTTGAAACTTAGACGGTTCTCTCGATATGTCCCCCTCCTGCCACCACAGAAATCTTGAAGCTCCTCGATCAGACTCAGGGACATTCACTTGCATGAACATTTCTTCAACATCTGCAGGGATTGCAACTGCCTCCTTGCGAAAACTTAATAATATACACATTAACTCAGCGGTGGTATCGGGATCTTGATAAATCATATCATTTGGGGAACCCCCTGCAAACTGGGCGGCACAATCAAGGACCACTCTAAGTTCTTCTGGTTTTTTCATGTTTAATACTGCATGATGAGGTAAATACCATCGAGGGCGATAATAAGACTGTAGATATATTTCAAAGACCCTCTCCGCATAAGTCTTAGTAAAATCACTTTCAGTACTTTTGATATACTTGATGTGCAGACTGACATCCTTCGACAACATACCCTTCAAACCTTGTAATCTACGGTTTGCTACTTCATAGTTATCCACTTTCATATCTGGATTCTTTTTCCAAGGTATAGAAACTACAAAATGACCGTTGCCGAAGCGCATGCCACCTTCCACAATCTTTATAGCCACCTTGTCGTCTACTGATAATGATTTATCACTTGAATAAGCATCTGAAAACTCTACGTCATAAGGCTTACGTATTTCGTTCTCTAATGTCTGTATCTTACTGGTATGATAAACAACTCTTTTCCTATATTCCGGGCATGATGGCTTATCATTTACGACGTTGCTTGTCGAGTCAGTGTGCAGCAGAGCGTGATGTCTCCTCTCGCAACTGTCAACCTTACAGAGCCTTGTCATCTTACATTCATTAACCTTATGTCCTTGTCTAAGACAGACGAAACAGATACCCTTGCTTTCAGCGTGAGACCATCGGTCTTGAACTGTAAGCGCTAAGAACTGTAGACATTTATCAATGGCATGGTCGTAGGAACACATACTACATTTAGTTTTCATTGTCGAACTATTCCCTTGCTCTGATTGCACGTGACAGTTCGTCTTTACGTTATGTCCTTTTCTAGAACGGTTTGCTAACCGTCCGAATCTACTACAAGCCACTCTCGCACGCGATGCGATAAACTGAGTGAGCTCGTCGAAGGTCGGTTCTCTGTTATCTTCAGTCAATTTATCCACCCAGTCCGCCCATTGGGCTTGCATAGGTTGAGGCAAGAGTCTCACTATTCTTTCCAAGGTAACTAAGGAATTTAGATCAGAAGTATAATTCATTTGTTCCAAGACCATGGCACAGTTTTCCATCTTAATAGCCAAATTTGATAGTTGGTCCCCGTCAATATACTCAAAATTCACTGCACTGAATAAGTCCTCTAGTGTTTCCCGAGCAATTACGTGAGGCTGTCCGAAAAAACGTTTTAAAATCTCCCTTGCTCTTTTATAGCCAGAGGATGCCTCCATCATGACGCAACCTTCAATAGCTGTTTTAGCCTTGCCCTTACAGTAGTGTATCA